GACTTTATCTGAAAATCATGATTCTTTCTGGGTATAGAAGTTTTGATTCAAAGTATTAAACCTTTAGTTTATATTACATTTGAGTAATCCATTTGACCCTGAAAACACAAGTTTTCATTAGGAAGTAATACTGGTTTGGGTTGACATTACTTTTGAGGTAGTCATGCATCACTTAATGATGAGATACGATCTGAGAAATGTCATGTTAGGTCATTTCATCATTGTGTGAACATCAGAGTGCACTTAGAAAAACCTAGATGGGGCCGGGCACGGTGGCTCACACCTGTAATCCCAGCACTTTGGGAGACTGAGGCGGGTGGATCACGAGGTCAAGAGATTGAGACCATCCTGGCTAACACAGTGAAACTCTGTTTCTACCAAAAATACAAAAAGTTAGCTGGACATGATGGCAGGTGCCTGTAGTCCCAGTTACTCAGGAGGCTGAGCTTGCAGTGAGCTGAGATCTGGCCACTGCACTCTAGCTTGTGGGACACAACAAGACTCCGTGTCAAAAAAAAAAAAAAACAAACAAACAAAAGAAAAACCTAGATGGGTATCCCACTACACACCTAGGCTATGTTATATACCCTATTGCCCCTAGACTACAAACCTGTACATCATGTTACTGAATACGGTAGGCAACTGTAAAACAATGGTGTTTTATCTAAACACAGAAAAGGAACTTTTCAGCCTTATTATAATCTTATGGGATCACTGTTGTATATGCCGTCCATCACTGGTGCATGACTGTTGTGTATGCAGTCATTATGTGGTGCATGACTATCAGTTCTGGCATTGCTGCCAAGGTGGCTCAATTCTACTTTACTCTCTGTTGTGTTCAGGCTCCACCTAGTGGCTCAAAAGACTGCCTCCTCCTTTTCAGCAATTAAATACCTTTGAACCTAACATTTTCTCTCTCTGCCATGAGAATTTTTTTTTTTTTAAGCTATTAAACACATTTCTCTTGGGGGAAGAAAAACCTCATGGCAAAAAAAAGAAAAAAAAAAGCCTCCAACCAATGCATTAAAATCTACAGATTAATACAAGATATTTAACTTGAAGATTGTCTAAAATATTATTTCTCAATTTTCCTTGTCTTTGCCACTTGTACATCTCAGTGTAAGGGTTCTGCATTCCATTTTCATCACTTATTGGATTTAATCTGCAAAATAAGGCTAATAATAATATTGAGTGGTCAGAGGACTAAATGAGTTAACATACACACTATTTTGTAAGGTACTTAAAACTTTTATTATTTATTTTTTGAGATGGAGTCTCGCTCTTTCACCTAGGCTAGAGTACAATGGCGTGACCTTGGCTCACTGCAACCTCCACCTCCTGGGTTCAAGCAGTTCTCCTGCCTCAGCCTCCCAGTAGCTGGGATTACAGGCACCCGCCACCACACCTGGCTAACTTTTGTATTTTTAGTAGAGGCGGGGCTTCGCCATGTGGCCAGGCTGGTCTTGAACTCCTGACCTCAGGTGATCAGTCAGCCTCAGCCTCCCAAAGGGCTGGGATTACAGGCATGAGCCAACATACCCGACCACATTATTTATTTTTAGAGACAGGGTCTTGCTCTGTCACCCAGGCTAGAGTAAAGTGGCACCACGATAGCTCACTGTAACCTCAACCTCTTGGGCTCAAGCAATCCTCCTGCCTCAGGCACCTGAGTAGCTGGCACCACAGGCCTGTGCCACCACAATGGGCTAATGTTTTTAACTTTTTTATAGAGAACGGATCTCATTACATTGCCCAGGATGGTCTCAAACTCCTGGCCTTCAGTGATCCTCCTGCCTCAGCCCCCGTAAGTGCTGAGATTACAGGTGTAAGCCACAGTGCTGGGCCCTAAAACATTTTAAATGTTCAGTATTAACTGTTATATTTTTACTCTTTAGCAGCCAAGAGTATTGGACACAAAGATGGTGCTAGAGCTAAGTATATGTTGAGTGAATGCAAGGACAGAATAAATTCTTTGCTGACCTGAGGAAAGTAATCTGGCAGATTCCCACCCCTAAACCATCTTTTGAAGCAAACAGGCAGTAGTAAATTAAATAATGGTAAATGCATAAGAAATTTAAGAACTACTATTAACAAACTTCTGAACTAGAAAGGCACAAGTGTATCAATAAGAGAACTAAGTAAATGTTTAAGCCCTAGTAGTCATTATCCACTCTAATTTTTGATAAGTAACACAAAGTTGAATACCTTGAGTCCCTGTCCTGCAGAATCTTAAAGAGAGGTAATCAATGCCATAAAAAAAGGTTCTAAGGTAACTCAGAAGCACCTGTTTTAGACTGGGTGCTAGGCTGACCCTCAGAACAAGCACAGGTAAGCCCAGAAAAGGGAGGAATGGGGGAAGGAAACCAGATTCCACTGCAGGTGAAGGGAGTAGCAAGTCTAAGTAGTAGTTGGTAGGTGGAAGACAGGGGATGGAAAACTTTTCCATGACACAGATGATTATCTTCCAGACAACCCAACTATTAATAGTTGTATTCATAATCAGCCTAAAATTTGGTTTCTTCTCTACATTCCTTTTGCTCCTGCCACCATCCCATACCAACTGCAATTCTTAACACATTCTACAATATCCAACCTCTTCTTTCAGATTTCTATTTCCATATCTAAGAGTTCAGCAGAGGTATGGAGTAAATCCAATTGGCTGGAATTTCCTACAATCCTCTGAATATTAGAGCTACCCAGACACACTGCTTTCATTATAATCAGAAAAGAAAATTGAAATGTCACCTTACACTTTCCCAGATCTTCCTGGTCAGTGTCACTTTCTCTCTCTCAGCAGTTTTAAGAGCACTTAATCAAAGGTAACATAGGCCAGAATGAGTGAGGAATGTTTCCTATCTACTAGCTTTAAACTTCTTGTCTCTCTAAACTTTCTTGCTGAAAGAAAGAACAGTTGTGACTGCACAAAAAGAACGTGTAATGAAAAGGCAAAAACCAAATGATCTTATAGCATATCATCAATAGAAGGCCCTAGAAATCATAAATTTTCTAAAAAACCATCATTCCAAAATGCCTGCAGTCAGAAAACCACAACAGAAACCACACAAAGAAAGGGTACACCAACATTCTGCAATATTGTAGTCTTCAGGTCACCACCCTTTGAGAAATTATATTCGAGCTAGTCAACCTGAAGGAAAAACTAACCCAAATAGTGTTAAAAGTCAACTTATGGGAAAAACTGACCAAGTAGATATAAAGCACACAAACTGCCTTAACCACGAGACTGAAACATTTTGAACTATGAAAACACACTATTAGAGACCAGTAGTCAGACCAAGCAATTCTTATCAAAGATTCAAATATTTTATACCACTATGGCCACACCGGTCTCTGGATATGTAAACATGAACACCTTAGAACACTTAAAATATTTCATATATTCAGTGACTCTTAACCAGGAGAGAAGCTAGTTTAAAAATGTGGTGACATTTGGGGGTGATTACAATGACATGGAAAGAAAACCAAGAATGAAAAATATCTGCAGAATCCACAGCCCTCCACGACAAAGAATTGTCCCATTACACAATGTCAGTAGTGCTCCCAAATTGAGAAATACTGAGTAAACGAACTGGTAAAACTACTAAAAACCAGACTCTCCAAAGTATTAATATATCCACAACCTCAGATTAACTTCGGACACAAACTAAAATCATGAGCTATTCCCTTGAAAAAAAAACAAACTCCTAACCCCCACCTATCAAATTGGGAACATGACCCACCCAGGGCTGTTATATAGCTATTAAGAGCTGGGGTCCTCTGACTCCAAGTGCAGTAAATGCTTGATTCTCTGCATACTATTTAGAAGGCATCCTCATTTACTGTCTCACTCATCTACCATCAAAAATTGCCTGAAAGAGGGGAGGGAGAAAAGAAGGAGCAAGGAGATTGAGTCTAAAATCCAAAAGACATTGTCTTTTCTGACACTTCTGTGGCCTCCCTCCCTCAAAGCCCAGCTGACGACATAGGGCATACGTTACTAGCACCATTCAACTCTGTAAATTAATATCTAACTAAATCATTATTTCCCCTCAAATTAATTCCTTTGAATGTTCCAAAGGATATTAACATATGAAGGATTCCCTGGGACATACTCTTGGGGGATGCAGTATAGTTTCCAAAAATGTGAATACTTAACGTACTTCACAGTGTATCTTTTAGGAGTATATGATTTAAAACATACTTGGGCAAACATGGACTTTACTGATTATCTGGGATTACTCAGAAATTGTCCAAGTGCACCAACTACTTACCTTAGGAAAGATTATTCATTAAAGTAAAACTTTTCCTGACCTATGACAGCATTTTGGATGGAGAAACATTTCAGTTAATCTTTTTTAGCTACTCAGATTTGGTAAATTGCAATTCTGGCTAAATTCTGGGCATTTAACCTTGTTGCCTCCTAAACACACTCAAAATATAAAATGCAAACAACGTCCTGAGAATGGTATTACAAAACTTGAGCATCCTAAAAATCTAGTACTAGAAAGGAACCCAGTGCCCTCCCTTTACAAAAACTGGGCTGGGATCGGTGGCTCATGCCTGTAATCCCAGCACTTTGGGAGGCCAAGGTGGGGGGATCATGAGGTCAGGAGACCGTGACCATCCTGGCCAACATGGTGAAACTCAGTCTCTACTAAAAAAAAAAAAAAAAAAAAAATAGCCTGGCATGGTGGCGTGCACCTGTAGTCCCGCTACTCAGGAGGCTGAGGAAGGAGAATCGCTTGAACCTGGGAAGCAGAGGCTGCAGTGAGCCAAGATTGCACCACTGCCTCCAAAAAGAAACAAACAACAACAACAGCAACAAAAAAACCCTGGAAAACAGAAATCAGGATGTGTAACTACTGAAAAGTCTTGCCACCACATCTGCCTCATCCTCTCTAATCCAACCTTCAGGAAATTGTATTGAAACAAAAATAGAGAAAAATACTGAAATAGATACAATGTTTTTAAAACAAGCAAATTTTATTAAAGGAAAATTTTGCATGGTTTACTTTTCACCAGTCTGTTCTGGCATGCTTCTAATGATGTCAGAGTCACCTAAAAAATAAAAATACAGTAATTTTACAATTTATTTAATAGCAACTGGTACCATAAAATTTCTCTACCTTTGGTTATCCCTTCTGTAGACAATGGTCTGCAAATTAGCACTGATTTTTTTTTTTTTTTTTTGAGACAGAGTCTAGATCTGTAGCCCAGGCTGGAGTGCAGTGGCACGATCTCGACCTTGGCTCACTGCAAATTCCGCCTCCCGGGTTCACGCCATTCTCCTGCCTCAGCCTCCCGAGTAGCTGGGACCACAGGCGCCTGTCACTGCGCCCGGCTAATTTTTTGTATTTTTAGTAGAGACGGGGTTTCACCGTGGTCTCAATCTCCTGACCTCGTGATCCGCCCACCTCGGCCTCCCAAAGTGCTGGGATTACAAGCGTGAGCCACCATGCCCGGCCAGCACTGATTTTTTGCAAAAGTTATCACATTACCTGTACTGTCATTTTTCTTAAGGTTAATCAAAGATAACCCAGAATCATAGCCATTATATGATCACACAGAACGATCATATAATAAAATTGGTTTATCACCAGCATTTATAAAACCAGACCTAGGGAAAGAACTAGGTCTGGGGACACACGCATGGTCTTAATATAGCGAATGTTTAGCCTGTCCTGACTATTACAAAATCAGAACAGCGAGAATATTCGCAGTATTCTATGAATCAAAGATTCACAATTGGAAAACAAAATGATGTAGATTTTTTGGCACTGTTTTTTTTCCTCAAGCTAATTTTACATGTCTATTCTCAGGAAGCAAGAATTACTTTCTTCCGTTTTGCCAGATTATTCTCCCCTTATAATTTCACCTTTTACCAAATCTCTAAGTCATTATCGCGCAGGTACTTCATCAAATGAAATTTATTATCTGACAGTAAAAATTTTAATTTATAATAAAGCCAATTATAATGTGTCGACATTCATAACCAATTCGCTACAAAAGACAACTACAGGATTTGCCTTGCTATATCCATATTCTATCTGAATTTAGGAACCAAAGACATTTGCATAGTAAGAAATACTTGTCCAGACATTACATTAGAAAGGCAAACAAAAAAAAAAAAAAAGACTTTCTATGATTTAAAAAGCATACCTGGATCAATGATAGCCAGTGTGCACACTCTGTAGTATTTTCCGCATGCTGTGCCCAGTTCAATATTATTTCCACTGTAGTGATGGACACCAGTTTTAGCCAACATTGCATAGTACTCTATTTCAGATTTCCTTTGGGAACCAAAAAAAGGCAAATAAATAAATGCAATACCAAGTGACTGACAGACTAAATGTTACTACTTCTTTTACTAGTGTTAATGTTCTTAAGGCCTTCAAAAAGTAACAAAATCACATACTACCCTTAAAAACATCATATTCATTATCCAATATAAAACAACATTTATATGTATCCTTTGCAAGTGAAGGGGTAACCAGCAAATATCTACTCAACCCCTACCATGTTTAAGACAGTATTAATACTCACAGAAGACGGTAGGATGCAAATAAACAAAAGCAAAGCATTATTTGTGCAGTGGCACAATCTTGGCTCACTGCAGCTTCCACCTCCCGGGTTCAAGTGATTCTCCTGCCTTAGCCTCTCAAGTAGCTGGGATCACAGGCATGTACCACCACACCCAGCTAATTTTTTATATTTTTGGTAGAGATGAGGTTTCACCATGCTGGCTAGGCTGGTCTCGAACTCCTGACCTCAAGGGATTCGCCCGCCTCGGCCTCCCAAAGTGCTGGAATTACAGGCATAAGCCACTGCACGCAGCCCTATTCTTTTTTTTTTTTTTTTAATCTAATGAAACTGAGCCACAGAATAGTAAGTGGAGGATCCAGAATCCAAACCTTTAAAAAATAAGCCATTTCTATCACTATCCCCCATTGCCCAGAATTCTAGACAGGGAGTGACACCGTTTTAAAGTTAAAATTTCTGGCCTTATGCGTGTAATCCCAGCACTTTGGGAGGCTGGATCATTTTGAAGTCAGGAATTCCAGATCAACCTGGCCAACATGGTGAAACCCTGTCTCTACTAAAAATACAAAATTTCAGCGTCAATTTAGTAGACACTAATAGTTTTAGGAATCGGAAAGGAGTCCTATACTATCTTGCCACTCAATTATGTAGATCCACATACCAGCAATAGTGCTACAATGTACTAGTTGAAAAAGCACCTCAAGCTGGTAGCTCACGCCTGTAATCTCATCAGTTTGACAGGCTGAGGTGGGTGGATCACCTAAGGTCACGAGTTCGAGACCAGCCTGGCCAACATGGCGAAACCCCATCTCTACTAAAAATACAAAAATTAGCCAGACATGGTGGCGGGTGCCTATAATCGCAGCTACTCAGGAGGCTGAGGCAGGAGAATTGCTTGAACCTGGGAGGCGGAGGTTGCAGTGAGCTTAGATTGTGCCACTGCACTCCAGTCTGGGTGACAAGAGCGAAACTCTGGCTCAAAAAAAAAAAAAGCACCTCGGGCCCCACCCCAAATCCAATGAAATCAGAACTTGCATTTTAACATTACCCATGTGACTCCTTTGCACAGTGATGTTTCAGAAACACTACTACAGAAGACAGGCTTTAAAGTTTCAAAGAATGGTTAGGGAAAAGCCCAACCCATGGGACAGGAAAGAAAGGGCCCTCCAGGCTTTGACAATAACTAGACACCCTATATAAAACGCTGTAAGCAGCTTATGCATTACCACAGAAAATTTGGTCACATGGTTTATATTCTGCAAGGTCCAAGTTTCTTTAGCTTATTTACAACACCCCCTAAGTTCAATTTCAGAACAGTGAGTCAAGCATAAACCTTGACTCAGAACTGATTTAGTGGGCTAAACTAGGTGATTCTATGATAGCCTGCAACGCCATGGCCCAGCCTCAACTTTTCTTACCTAGTTTTTTGACAATAAACAAGTTCACACAATGAAGCATCGTTAGACACCTCAAAGCTAAAAGAACCAAAAAAGCAGGACACAAAATACATGGAAAAAACAAATAATGTGTCTGTGCTTCCATCAAACCCCAATGTCCTGTTTTCACTCCTCCTGCCACACACACGTTTCTCCCCCAGAAATAAGCTCACAGAAGGGGAGCACATGATTTGGGGGTGGGTGGGGGGAGACGGCAACGAAGGGCCAAACACCACAATCGCTACCATAATTATCCTGCAAGTGTTCGAGTTAATGGTACTCAGATTATAAGTTTACACTCCTGTATATTCGTTCACGATGAATTCGCGGTAGGCGACGCTCGTTCAGGTTCTTCGATTACCTCAAAGCTGGGCAGTTGTTAGCGAGAATGACCAATTTCGCTTTGCCTTGTCTGATCATCTTCAGAGTCTGCTTGTACCCCAGGACGTACTTCCCACTTTTCATAACGAGTTGGAGCCTAGAGTTGATCGACTCCAGCGACTTTTTCTACAAAGCAAACATTAAACACGGACCTAAGGGCCTCGTCTGCAACCACTTCAAAACTGGACCCAGCTTTTTGAAGCCAAGCCTCTTAACTTCCTAAGTCGAGGACCCCAAGTCATTGAGAGGGCCACTGGGATTCCCTCTGGGGCCCTCCAAATGCCAGCAGGCATGCTGTCACCCCAGTGGGCTCACATCTGCCCGCCCCGGCCGAGACATCTCTCCACGTGAATCGGCTTCCGGGCCTGGCCCGCCTCACTCACCGTCTTCTTTGCGGCCACCATCTTCCTGCCTCAGGTGCGGGACGGCCCCCAAGCTAGAAGAGACAGAGGACAGGACAGGAAGTTTAGGATCCGGAGTTCCAAATGGCAACCCGCAAAGCTCCCCGCGCTGCCTAAACCTTGGTCAGCAGGAGCCCACTCACCAAGAGCAGCCACTAAGATGGCCGGGGAGCGAGAAAGGAAGGAGTTCCCACAATGCAAAGCTCTTCACGGCAGAGCCGGAATTGCAGGACCGGAAGCGGAAACAGATCGCAAGCAGAAGGGGCGGGACAAAAGGCGGAGGGTCGCTGCGGGTTGCTATTGGTACCGCTAGCTAGAATGGCTGCGGGGGCAGTACGAGGCGTCTCATACCTTTAATCCCAGCACTTCAGGAGGTCGAGGCGGGAGGATCTGTTGCGTCCAGCTCAAGGCCAGCCTGGGCAACATAGTGAGACCATCCCCGTCTCTACAAAAAATAAATAAATAAATTAGCCGGGCGTGGTGGCGCACTCCTGTAGTCCCACTTACTCCTAGCTCCGCCGGAGGCTGAGGTGGGAGGATCGCTTGAGCTCTGTAGGTCGAGGCTGCAGTGAACCGTGATCGCGCCACTGCACTCGGCCTGGGCGACAGAGTGAGACTCTGTCTCAAAGAAGGGAAAAAAAGAATGGCGGCAGGGGTGTTCGCTTTCCCTCTTTGCGGGCCTTTAAGCTTCTCGGCGTTGTGTTGCTGTTGGGCTTGGAGCTGCGATCTAACGAATCGAGGAGCTTAGAACCCGGAGGGAGTTGGAAAAGCAGACTGAAGGTGAGGTGGGAGGGTCGATGAGAAGAGGCTGCGGCGGCTGCGACCACGGTCTTAATGCGACTGAATTCACCTTTTCCCTGAGGCGCGGCTCTCGGAGAGCCTTGTGGATGACTCCGCTGCGCCGCAGCCCCCGCATTTACTCTCTGCTTGGTAGAAGCAGCAGTGTCCTCACCCCTGCGGTCACCCAAGTTACCTGTCCCCTTCCCCTGGAGAGCTGTTGCGCCCTGCGCGAGTTTCCCAAAATTCGCCTTTTGTGTCTGTGTTAGCGTGAACTTGTGAGCCGAGTTTGCACTGAGAGCGCGAAAAACAGGTCTAATTTTTAAAAAGTATTTCTGCTGTTCACGCTGGATCTTGGTATAAATGTCCAGAGACAGACCACTGAAAATATTAGGCGCTGAAAATCCCCACCTAATCAATCAGACCAGTGGGTAAGCTACGTGAGGGAAACCTCTTCCCCTCCTTAATTAAGCCTCACCAAAAAACGCGTGCTGTACCAGGAATCATTTACATATATATATTTAATACTCACAAAATTTCCATGAGATAGTAACCCTTTTATTGTCCATTTTACATATCTAGGGCTGTTGTCAGAGCTAGGACCAGAGCCTAGGTAACTTAGGTCTCTTCACAAAGTTGATTCAGGCCGGATGCGGTGGCTCACACTTGTAATCCCAACACGTTAGAAGTCCGAGGTGAGCGGATCACCTGTTAGGAGTTCGAGACAGTCTGGCCAACATGGTGAAACCCCGTCTCTACTAAAAATGGAAAAATTAGCCAGGTGTGGTGGCTCGTGCCTGCAATCGCAACTACCTCGGGAGGTTGAAGCAGGAGAATCGCTTGAACCTGGGAGGCAAAGGTAGCAGTAAGCTGAGATCGGGCCACTGCATTCAACTGCCTGGGTGACAAAGCGAGACTCCGTCTCAAAAAAAAGTAAAAAGGCCGGGCGGGGTGGCTCACGCCTGTAATCCCAGCACTTTGGGAGGCCGAGGCGAGCGGATCACAAGGTCAAAATATCGAGACCATCTTGGCGAACATGGTGAAACCCTTTCTCTACTAAAAATACAAAAATTAGCTGGGCTTGGTGGCGCGTGCCTGTAGTCCCAGCTACTTGGGAGGCTAAGGCTGGAGAATCACTTGAACCCAGGAGGTGGAGGTTGCAGTGAGCAGAGATCATGTCACTGCATTCCAGCCTGGTGACAGAGTGAGACTCCATCTCAAAAAATAGTGATAATAATAATAAATAAAATAAAAATAACGTTGATTCAAGTGTGTGCCCCTCTTTGCTGAGAAATTAACCAAGTTGAATTAGATTATCATAGTACTTGCTTTAATATTTAGTCATAAATTACTTAATACTGCAAATCCAGATATTTGTCTTCCTCTATTACTCTAGTTCTATAAACAAACTCTTTTTGTTTTTTACTAATTTTAGAACTAACAGATAACTAGCTCTCTGACTTAAAGAAACTGAGACCTGGAGAAGTTATGGTGCTGCTACCTGATAGAGTAAAAGTTGAAACATCAGTCCCCCTTTTAATCCTGTGTTCTTTATTTTTTTTTTCCTGGTCCACGTTTCATTTGCGGTTGTCATCCTATTATAAAAACTGAATCCTCAAGAGCATTTTCCATTGCAATTCACTCCACGTACCATTTGGAAATGTTTATAGTCTGCCACTGACATTAGACATTCAGATATGAATCTTTTTTTTCCATTATCGTCAAACATTTTTCTTGATATGCAGAGAACTACACCCTACCTTCAGTAGGCTAATAGTTATGTTGAGAAGGCAAGACCTATAAAGACAATTAGTACAACTCTAATTGCCATGTGAAGTTGTCGTTACAGATGTTACGTGTTTATTCCACAAACAGTACCGTGTGCCATCAGCTGTGTTGAGCCTGTGATCATAAAAGATTCCTTCAGAAACCTTGCTGTCTATTGTCTGAAGGAAGGTATAAGCAAATAGCATAATGTGTTTATTTAACAAATAGATATGATGAATTCTTCCTCACTCCAGGCAATAAGAATATACAAAGACATGGTGACTGTTCTTAAAGAGCCTACTATCTAGCTAGGCCTTAAAGGAGAGTAATATAGGAATAATTAATTTTGTATAGACTTTCTTGTACTTTTCACAAACCTTAACTCATGGTTACAATAACCTCATAGACATTATTATCCTTATGTTACAAGGGCTAAGATTAGAGACAAAAGTTGTTAAATAATTTAGTAAAGGTTAGACAGGTCAGAGCTGAGATTTGAAGTCAAGCACTTTGCAGGATTAACTGAAATCAAGGAGGGGATGCATTCTAGTCAGAGAAGAGCCAGAAGCAAAGCTAAAAGGTGCTCACTTCAGCAGCATGTATACTAAAAATTAGAACGATGCAGAGAAGTTAGTATGACCCCTGTACAGCAATGACACACAAATTCATGGGAAAAAAAAAAAAAAAAAGCTAAAAGGAGACAAGAGTGGTTAGAACAGTTTGGCTGGAATATAGCATTCATGAGAAGGAAAGAGAAAAAAAGAATACAAAAGAAAAGTGGAATGTTAAAGCTTTAAATGTTACAGTTGTAAGTTTGCTTTACAGTGGAATTATAAGAAATCATTTTACACTCAAATTTTACTGCCTTTTCTAACCTTTTCCCAGGAATTTATTTAAATCCATGGAAATTCCTTGTCCATTACTGAATCGCCTTTGAGAGAATGAATTCTGAATGGAAGAGGCGTGTTGATCAGTGATGCCATTGGGACCTGAAAACAGTGAAGGCTCTAAAATTAAATAGCCACCAGGAAAATTAAAGTTAGATATAAAATATTAAATTATTTCTAGAGATGGGATCTCACTATGTTGCCCAGGCTGGTTTTGAACTCCTGGCCCCAAGTGAACCTCCTGCTTCAACCTCCTAAAGTACTTGGGTTATAGGTGTGAGCTGCTGTGCCAAAGTTTTTATTTATTAATTTAGGAGAGAGGAGATGGAAGGAGAGCAGAGAAAAGAGCACAAAGCTTTTTTTTTTTTTTTTTTTTCTTGAAGGACAGATTGACAGTGTGTCAAAACAGAATGAACATACCTATATAAGCATTTCGTGTGAAGATATACAAGATGACAGTGGCTTCCTCAGGAAAATGGGATTGGAGGTTGGAAGGAGGTAGAGAAGTACTTTTTATTAAAATTCCCTTCTGTGCTATTTGAGTCTTTTGGCCCAGTGATTCAACTTTTAGGAATTTATCCTGCAGAAGCAGTCACAGAGGTGCTTGAAGACATGGGAACAAGAGTATTTATTTCAGCTTTATTTATTTGTTTTTTGAGACCGAATCTCCCTGTGTTGCCCAGGCTGGAGTGCTGTGGCATGATCTCGGCTCACTGCAACCTCCACTTCCCGGGTTCAAGCGATTCTCCTGCCCAGCTAATTTTTGTATTTTTAGTAGAAACACGGTTTCGCCATGTTGGCCAAGCTGGTCTTGAACTCCTGGGCCCAAGCAATCCACCTGCCTCGGCCTCCCAAACTGCTAGGATTACAGGCATGAGCCACCATGCCTGAGCAGCATTATTTATAACAGCAAAAAATTAGAAACATCAAATGCTCATCATTCTTAAACAATATACAGTCATGCACTGCATAACATTTTGGTCAATCATGGACCACATACACAACAGTGGTCCCATAAGATTATAATACATTCTTTTTACTGTATGTCTTCTGTGTTTAGATACACAAATGCCACTGTGTTACTGTTGTCTATAGGTACAGTAGCACGCTGTACAGATTTGTAGCCTAGGAGCAACAGGCTACACCATATAGTCTAAGTGTGTAGTAGGCTGTACCATCTAGGTTTGTGCAAGTTCACTCTGATGTTCCAACAACAATGAAATCGCCTAACGATGTAGTTTTCAGAATGAATCCTAGTCATTAAGTGATGAATGACTATATTAGGCATAGAAAACAGACTGGAAAACTATATATTTGTAGAGGCATAGAAAAAAGTCTGGAAAAGTCAGATATCATCAAAATGTAGAGAGATGAGAAGAGTGGGTCATGAGGAAGGGACCTTTACTTTTTCTTTAGGTTTTTTTAGTACTGCTTGAATTATTTTACAGTAAGCATTAATTATTGTTACATAAAAAATCCTTTTTTAGTATTAATAAAGTGTTCATTTGCAATACATGTGTCATGAAACATCAATTACTCCTCAATATAATACTTCTCAAAGTCTGGCTCTCAGATCACCTGCATCAAAATCAATGATTCAAACTCCTGGACCCCACCTAGGCCTATGGAAGAAATCTCTGGGTGTGGATCCTGGGAATCTGAGTTTAGCAGTCATCCTAGATGATTGTAATAATTACTAAAATTTGAGAATTAGAGACCTAAAGAATGAGATAGCCAAATTGGTTCTGAGACATACCTGCTTAGACAGAGGTATAAATTAAACAATAATGATCCCTTGTATTGAGTGCTCTACTTTCAAAGCTTTTTTTTTTTTTTTTTTTTTTTTTACAGAGTCTTGCTCTGTCACCCAGGTGG